CTCCATTTTGTTTATGTCATGGACGGTTTCCGATGTTATGCAGATGCACAAATACAAACTCTGTCGAAGTAATTGTTTTTAATTTTGAAAGGATGTATTTTGCTGTTTTACAGCAACGTTTTGTTTTAAATTTCGTTGAAAAGTTTACACAAGTACAACACCGTTTTTTCCCCTCGATTTTAACTGGAAATAAGCCCGCAGTTTCATGAGTTAGTGGCTGTTCAACCACGAAACAAAGTTTGTATAGTAATTCTTTTAATGTCGATGTCTTTGATCATTTAATTGTTGTTGTGCTGGTTTGGGTAAGTGTGAACATTTCAGTAGTAAAATTCCATTGCAGTGAATGTTATTGTTCATTGTAATTATTTATAACAGAGGGTTTAAACTGCAGGTTGCAGGTGTGCAGGTGCAGGTTGCAGGTGTGCAGGTCAATGGGTGCAGGTTGCAGGTGTGCAGGTTGCAGGTGTGCAGGTGTGATATTCTAGTACAAGATCAAAACTTGACATTCATGAAAAAGTGAAGCACGCATAATATTTTATCTTAGCTAAGTTTGAATTCTCTTTTTTAATTGATTTTGTCACTCTTTGCGAGAAACGTCCGCCATATTTAATTCTTAGCTCAAAAACACCTGATATCCCATATTATCAATAGTTTTCCCCCATACCGCCAAAACATGTGATCACAGAGTAGGTACCACTGATATACAGTAGGTACATAGTAGGTACATAGTAGGTACATAGTAGGAACATAGTAGGAAAATAGTAGGTACATAGTAGGTACACAGTAGTTACATAGTACCTACTCTGTGATCACATGTTTTGGCGGTATGGTGAAAACTATTGATAATATGGGATATCAGGTGTTTTTGAGATAAGAATTAAATATGGCGGACGTTTCTCGCAAAGAGTGACAAAATCAATTATAAAAGAGAATTCAAACTTAGTTAAGATAAAATTTTACGCGTGCTTCACACTTTTTTCATAAATGTCAAGTTTTGATCTTGTACTAGAATATCACACCTGCAACCTGCACCCTGCACACCTGCAACCTGCACACCTGCAACCTGCACCTGCACACCTGCAACCTGCAGTTTAAACCCTCCGTATTTATAAAGCTAGCGCTATTGTTTATAATGGTCTTAATACTTTATGTGGAGTTTTTATACTTCATTTGTTAGGAAAGGCGAGGGGTTGCTGCATGCGTGTATTTTCTAGTTTAATATGGAAGACAGGAGTCCAAATACCTCATTAAGTTACTATTTTTAGTAACATCTGAACCACAGACCGTAACAGAACACCGCAGATGCATCAAAAAAATTTTTAGTCCTAGGCGTATGCCTTCGGAAAGCTCTCGGCTCATCTTCGTCGAAAATAATCAAATGCTTTAAAAACGCGAGTAATGTTACATTTAGAGCCATGAATTTGCAAAAGAATTTGCCATCTTTTATCTTAGTAATCTCCAATTTTCATTAATTTTGTACACAGAAATTAATTGTGTGAAAATATATTGATGGTAAAAATATATTTCCCCAAAACTATTTTACTATCCATAATCGAAAAAATCTGACCGTATCTTGAGCTACGCTCGATACCCCTGGATCCGCCTCTGGTCACAATAACAAGTAAGCAATGTAGCAACATTACCTCAAGCGAATTTGGCTTATACCTTGTACACTAGTATATACTAGGTATTTTGTACATGGTTTAATTTGGTAAGTACATAATGTGTGGTATTGTAGAAAATATACTTTGTACAGTGTGTATAAAAAATGGTAATCGAACTTCATCACACTATTGTATATGAATTACTTGTGTAGGAACATTTTCATATTAGGAACGATCGGGCTTTTAGCTATTGAATGACATTTTTTTATGCCAAGCCGGGAAGAAATAAGCAAGTATGAGTCCGATAAAAAATGTTCGCCACAATGGCATATTTTTACCTGTGCCTAATTATAGCAGTGCATAACAAAGGCGGTTAATTTTCAATATTTAAAGACCCAAATCTCAACAGTAAAAATATGTGATTCTGACTAGCATTTTTATCAGACTCGTACTTGGTTATTTTTTATCCATTTGGCACAAAGAACATATTATTCAGAAGCGATGATGAAAAAATCTTGTTCATACACAGAGAAATTCAGATACAATAGCACACTGAAGTTTGATTACCCTTCTTTTATGCATCCTGTAGTGTCGAAACTGGATTCTAATTTTTAAGTCGCAATTTGTTATGAAAATTCTTCTTGCTGGTCTAAAGTTTGGATTAGCAGAGTTTGTTCTGATTAAATAGGCATATTGTGAAAGCACAAGTAAATGTAGATCTGATGCCTGGTCATGTGTCTATGATACATCAGTGGTAGTGGTGGGGAGGGGTTACTTATTTAGAATTCATGTGAAGGGGGTTATTGAATTTTTTGTGATGCATGGAGCAGGACATCTTGTTTAGTTGTCAATTGAATTTTGGCAGCCCATGCCTGGTCATAAATAATGAATGGTCCCTTAGAAGGCTGCACTGGAATGCTGTGGGTTTGATTCCTGTAAAAGCAGTGGCAAAACCAGCCCAACAATTTGGTCATGAATTCGTGCTGGCCACTGTGTCAACTGGGGCAGGGGCAAAGGCCCCCTAACTATATAACTGGGGCGGGGGCAAAGGCCCCCTAACTATATAACTGAGGTGTGGGCAAAGGCCCCCTAACTTTAATGCTAAACATTGTGTTGTAAATGCCTTATTAGTTTTTAAACATTTTACAGTGGATTGCATTTCCCAAACTCTATAGATTTGGGTTGTTGGAAGGCTCAGCTAAACAAGTTAGTGACCGCAGGGGGCAACAGGCCCCAACCCAGTGTTTTATAAGGGGGGAATAATTTTGGCCCCCACCAAAAAAACAAACAATTGATTTTGAAACCTGAAGTATTTGAAATCATATATATATATATATATATATATAATCAAATATCTGTAATCAATATTTTGATAACAACATTTCTCATGATAATCCTGACCTGTAGATAGCATAGACTCACAAATCATAATGAATGAATTAATGAAAGGGCCTAACAAAAGAGGTAGAGAAGACTTTGAAAATGCCATTTCCGACAATTTAGAGATGCAAAATTTTCAATTTTTTCTTGTCTTTGCCAAGCATGGTAGTGCTATGTGGGAGTCGGGCCCTCCTAAGTTTATTGAGCTGGCTACCTGAGTGACAGTCAAGGTGTGGTATCTACATAATGAGGTATCTATATAATGAGGTATCTACGATGGGCATTCACTTGAACTTGAACTTTTTTTATGTTACTCTGATAGTATACCAACACCTGACAGGCTGAAAAGTTAGCTTGACCGTCATGGGGCATTTACCCCAGTAGGCCCTTTGTTTGCCTCAGTAGTGAAGCAAGATTCTCTGATGAACTGGGCCCTTTTGATCATTAGTAAAAAGTAAACTGTAGTGTAGTAGGTAATCAGATTCATATAAGCTTATGCATAATTATAAATTACTTATACACATGCAGTCATGCAGTGCAAACAAAAAGACCCAAAAAGAGATATATTATAGATAGTCTGGATATAGCAGCATGAGAGTAAGATAGTAGCATATCAGTTTGTAAATGGTTAAAGAAATAAATAGACTTAACCCTTAGGGAGCCAAATTGTTTTTTTATGAATATTTTAATGTTCATTGGTGTCGCAAAGAGTCGAACCTTATTGTCAGGGGGGTGCAGGTATCTAAAAAAGTTGGACGTGCCCAAGCAAAAACATTTTTTTATGTTTTATGGACCTTTTGTGGAGCATAGAAGAAGTGAATGGTATTTTGGTCCATATAAATGAAGAGATAATTCATTTGGCTTCAAAATGATACCATAATTATATATGTAGCAAGAGTATTACATAAGTTATCAATTTTTTTATGCCGGAAACCGCTGGTATAAATTCCTGTAATGACACGATTATTACAGGAATTTATATTATTACTGACATCATACCTAGAATTTATAATATTGTATACAAATAAAACAAAATAGGTTATTCTTATATTAACTAGCTATCACTACAGGTAAAATAGAGATATATTATATGCCCAGTAGCCTTTCCACGACCGCGTACAGGGGGTCCAACGCTCCCTCTTGACGTACTGGGCCTGGGTTCGTCATCACTAGTAGCAGTGATGTCACGGTTGCATGATTCCTACAAATTTGAAAATGACTATATATCAAACAAAAGATTATGAAACAAAAATATGGCTGATACTCCTTATTTATAGCATCATCATATGCCCTTGTCATCAGGGAATTTCTAGCCGCAACTTTTAGCCTTGTAATCAGCCAATTTGCTGATGTCTAGAAATAATATTTCTCCTAAATTTCGATGAGGGTGAATAATATATCATATTCTGATATTCATAGTAATCATAGATGCATATCTTTGTTTCAAAATTTACTACATTTTTTGAAAATTTACTTCAATAAATCAATAACGTTATAATAATACAAAAATTAGATAATTTACTTACTTGTTGGGGATTGTCATCACTGTGAAACACTGAATCTTGGTAGCATGGATCAACATTGCACCTTGAAGAGGCCTGAAATTCATCAGCTGATGCATCTGTTTATTCTTCGACATCTCACGATGAATCTGAGTCGAATTCTGACTCGTTTTCGGCATGTAACGTGGCCATTACTTGGTTTATGCTTAGGTAATCCTTTTGGGACGCCATTTTGTATACAAACTGTCCAAAATCCTTACAAAAATCGCTGTAAAATCGTCAATACTCAAGCTATCGCTGTGAATTTTGTTTTATTTTGAAGAGGAAGTAATGTGCTTCAAACTGACATGCGCAGTATAATTTTAGCATGTATACTTTTGCTACAGGACGCCCAAGTATCTTATGGGTCAAATTTGACCCTATCCGCGCCCTAAGGGTTTAAAGATTCAATACTTATACATTGGTGATGAGGATACTCAATAAAACAAACCAGCGAAAGACACACGTTAGTTATTTTGTAGCGGCAAACTAATGAATGAAGGCATGGCTAACAACATGTCTATAAATTTTCTGCCGTTTGACCCTGACGTTGATCAAACAACAGTCGGGAATAGATTCATGAAATACATCGACCGCTTCAAGAATTATATGGTAGCCATAGACATCAAAGATAAAGCTAGGAAAAGAGCATTATTCCTACATACAGCGGGGTTTAAAGTGCAGGACATTTTGGACACACTTGAGGACACCGGAGTTGATTTTGAAACAGCGAAAAGAACAATCTGTATAACATATATCAATTCAGACAAATACAACAACAGCAAGATGAGACCTGCGATGACTATTGCACAAGATTAAAGCAAGCGGCGAAACTTTGCGAATTCCCAAAGGAATGGCAAGATACAGAAATCCAATTACAACTTATAGACAAAGGAAAATCGAAAAGAATACGCCGACAATTATTAAGCAAAGAGCATACGTTACAAGAAGCCCTTGAATTCGCGAGAGCACAAGAAATAGCGGACAGTCAAGCTACAAGGATTGAAAGAGGAGTCAAGAACCCCAGGCCAGCAGTCGAAGTATACGAAACAAGGGTAACAACAAGAACCCACGAAAGTACAAAGAAATGTTTTTTCTGTGGCAGAAAATTCCCACACCAAGGTAGAAGGACAAAGTGCCCTGCATGGGGCAAGGAATGTAAAATTTGCAATAAACCCAACCACTTTGCCAAATGTTGTAAAGGGTCAAGTATCAAAAGAAAATAAGGACAATCGAAAATAAAGAGGATAGCGACCCCAGCTCTGACAGCACCGATAATACATCGATCTATAATGTAGGGACAGTAAATGGTAGGGCAACAGACGTGGAGCGTAGACCAGATCGAACAGTTAAGATTGACAACAAAGATATTAACGTTTTAATAGATACAGGGGCCACAGCAAACATAATGGACGAGGAAGCATACAGGAAAATATCTCCAGGGCAGCAGAAATTTAAAAAGGCAAAAAGTATTATGCAGCCGTACCACACAGATAAAAATCCCACTCCACCACTATGTATTATTGGGAAATTCGACGCAGTAATTGAATCCAAAACAAGAATAGTGTCAGCCACGTTCTACGTGGTGGAAGGAAAAACAAAAACAGAGCCACTACTTAGTTATAAGACAGGCCAAGAACTAGGCATGGTCACCGTCGCAAACACAGTAGAGACAGAACCGTCAACAGTAGAGAAACTATTGGGAAATTACAGCAATATATTTGAGGGTATTGGCAAGATGAATGGTGTAAAAGTCTACCTGAACATAGATGCTGACATAAAACCAGTAGCTCAACAACGTAAACCATTTAGCATGCGACCCAAGATAGAATAAGAACTACGAAGATTGCAGGAAGGGGATATTGTAGAGAAGATAGACACACCTACTAGCTGGATATCTCTAACGGTGATCACCCCAAAGAAGAACCCCAAAGAAATCCGCCTTAATGTGGACATGAGAGAAGCCAACGGTGCCATTCCCTGTGTGAACAGTATCACGCCAACCATAGACAAATTAATACAAGAATTAAATGGCGCTCAAGTATTCTCGCATTTAGACATGAATCACGGATACCAGCAATTGGAACTGGATGAAAACAGCCGGGATATAACAACTTTCTCAATGCACATCAGGTTCTACCAGTACAAAAGGCTTAATTATGGGACTAAATCAGCAGGTGACATTTTTCAAAACAAGATAAAAGAAGAACTTACACAGCACATACCGGGAGTGATTAACATCAGCGACGATATACTAGTGACTGGGAAGGATCAACCAGAACATGATCAGAGATTAGAAGCACTCTTTGAAACAGCACAAGAAAAAAAGTGACATTTAACAAATCAAAGTGCGAGTTCAGTAAGGACAAATGTCTGTATTTCGGGCTGATGTTTTCCAAGGATGGTGTCAGTCTGGGTCCAAGTAAAGTCCAAGCAATTAGGGCCACAGACCCAACCCGGAGTGCGAAAGAGCTCAACTCGTTTCTATGTACAGTGCAATATAAAAGCTGAGAAGTTTGTTGAAGGAGTAGAAATTTAGATGGGAAAAGGAGCATCAAGAAGCATTCGAGGATCTGAAGAAGGGATTGTGCGAAGAAACAACCTTGACATATTTTTACCCCAAGGCGGAACACGAAGTCCATGTCGACGGATGTCCCCTCGGAATATCAGCAACATTGGTGCAAAAGAGTGAAAAGGATGGCCCGTGGCAAGTGGTCCAATATGCAAGCCGGTCTCTGTCGGATATAGAAACCAGATACGCGCAAATCGAGCTAGAAACCCTCACAGTAGACTTGCATGCAAGAAATCCCACTTATACCTGTACGGGATACCATTTACAATTATAACCAATCATAAACCATTGGAAGCAATCCTAAATAACCCAAGACACCAAACATCAAATCAATAAGGCTACAAAGAATCCTGGTAAGGATGATGGACTATCAGTTCAAAGTGGAATACAGGCCCGGAAAGAACAACATCTCGGATTATACGTCAAGACACCCATTACCTCGAGAAGAATGTTCAAAAAAAGAGCTAAGCACGAGCAAAGAAATCAAGCAATATGTCAATTATATGCTTCAAAACAACATCCCACGAGTGATTGGAAAAGAAGAATTGAAAAAAAACGTGGAAGAAGACCCAACATTGCAAAGACTCTCGGAGTGTATTGAGAAAGGACGAATGGGGAATTCTGAAGACATAATCGCGTATAGGCAAATTTTTTCAGAATTGACGTTGGTAGACGGGCTGATTATGCGAGGTGAAACAATTGTAATACCCGAAACGTTACAGAAACAAATGATACAGATTGCGCACGAAGGACACCAATAGTACATACCAAACAAATGCTCCGAGCTCATGTCTGGTTTCCAGGAATCGATGCAGCAGTGGAAAAATACGTTGGTAGATGTATTGGATTCCAAGCAACCACACCTTCAAACCATAGAGAACCTTTAACAATGACCAAATTACCCGGAGGGCCGTGGGAAAGAGTTAACATGGATTTCGTAGGACCATTGCCGAATAAAGATATGATTCTGGTACTGTGGGACCAATACGCTAAGTACCCAGTGGTTGAATTTGTTACCACAACGGCAGCGGAATCAACAATACGTGTATTGGATCAAGTGTTCACGACGTTCGGTTTACTGAAGCAAATAAAAACCAGGGCGAAGGGAGAGAGGGCGTAGAAACAGCCATACATCGAGCGGACCCATCCGTGATGCGGGCTTTGCGGGGGGTAAGACATTCTAATTGTAAACAAATATGGCTACGCATATATGACCCATCAGAAGGTATGCTGAAACTATTGCTTTATAAAATATTACTTGTGTAAAATTTATATGTTTTTGTTACTTTCAGCTACTATAAGAAACTTAAAGATAAGATTTAAGTAACAAAAAACTTTATTTCGGGTGTTATTTTATTTATATACTCTGTTTAATTTGGTGGTTAAAAATGGCCGTCGAAATGTTGTCCGAGAGTGTTAGCACGCACTGCTTCCTGATAAAAAACCAATGATTTCCAAAACCTAAATTATAATTTGTTATTAAGTTATGATGAAAACCTTTGCGTATACAAAATTATAGAGTGAGCAAACATGAGACAGATAGGTTTTGAACCTTTCAAAGTTCGAGGTCGAATTGACAATTGAAGTAGTACCAAACTCCAAGCTGAATTGTGCAACTAAATCGTGTATATTTTTGTCAATTTTGTTCGCTGGCTTTGTTAAATTCACTTGCAATGTCTCGACATAAGTTACAACATACAAACTGAGCAGAGCCCATGAAAGAGCTATCCATACCCATACAGTCATTCAGCTTCCTTGCTATTTAGAAATTGTTGCCCATTAGTTGAAGAAGAATTGCTATTGTATGCGCTTGTTTGCACTTCCTTTCCTGAAAAAGGCTACAATATTAAGGCTAAATAGCAGAAAAATATGACCCAATAATCCATGCAATTAAAAATATCTATCAAATTAACTTCAAAAATCATGATTTGAAGAATTATATCTATTCAGGCAACCCATAATTTAGTGACAGGTCTTGGCAAGGTGAAAGCTGAAAGGAACCCTTAAGATGGGTGTACTACAAAACTATATTGACTGAAGTTTTGGAAACATTTAACTAAATTTTGAAGGATTGACTTGCAAACTGTGATTCAGTATCATCGAATTTTACACTTCTGGAGAAGTTGTGGCTCTGTTAGTGCCATTTCTTTCATTGTTTATATATCTTGCTTTTAAGCATTGCTGGCTTATAAAATCTTTCAATTCCTTAGGGCCTGTTTATATGATCCCGCCTAGATGCATGGGACGGGACGTTTTCATCCCGCCAAGACAGGATACTCGCCTAGTGTTTATATGGACAAAATACATTGCCGGGATGAAACCATTCGGTGCTTGACGTCATATTTTTGTTGCAATAAACTGCATTTACGCATGCCCAAAAGGGAAAAATTAATTCCGCCTAACCGGGATAAAGTGTTTATATGAGAATTTTTCATCCCGGCTAGGTGGGATGAAGTGTTTTTATATGTGAATTTTTCATCTCGCTTGGGCAGGATCCCGGCATCTGTTGCCGAAATTTAACCAGTCTAGGCGGGATAAGTGGCGGGATCATATAAACACTCTTTAGCATTTGTATTATGAGCGGGATCTCGGTAAGCATCCCATCCCACCTGGCCGGGATCATATAAACAGGCCCCTAATCTCATCCCATGATACTGAATCACAGTTTGTAAGGCCCCATTTACATGAGACCAGGATGAAACCAACCTGGAATGAAAATTGAAATTGCATGTCAACATGTTTACATGAGACCAGTATGAAAATCACAAAATTTTCAATTTATTCCCCTTGCCAGGCAATTTTATTTTTTAGATGACTTTTGTTAGCATGTGTTGTTCACTTGTTCCAATGTCAACATTCATTCCAGTCTGAATTCATACTGGTCTGAGTCAGTCGGCTTGGTCCAGCAGGCGGAATGACTTGAGATCTCATGTAAACATCTATTATATATAATATAACCAAAACGAAATGGTCCCGGTTAATTGACTTCGTTCCAGTCTCATGTGAACTGGACCTAATAAAATCCTTCAAAAGTTGGCTAAATTTTTCCAAAACTTCAGTCAATATAGTTTTGTAGTACACCAATCCCAAGATCTGTCACTAAATTATGGGTTGATTGCCTGAATAGATATAATTCCTCAAATCATGATTTTTGAAGTTAATTTGATATATATTTTTAATTGCATGGATTATTGGGATTTTCTGCTATTTAGCCTTAATATTGTAGACTTTTTTCAGAAAAAGAAGTGCAAACAAGCGCATACAATAGCAATTGTTAATTCTTCAACTAATGGGCAACAATTTCTATAAATATGAATGACTGTATGGGTAGTGGACTATGGATAGCTCTTTCATGGGCTCTGCTCAGTTTGTATGTTGTAACTTATGTCGAGCCATTGCAAGTGAATTTAACAAAGCCAGCGAACAAAATTGACAAAAATATACACGATTTAGTTGCACATTTCAGCTTGGAGTTTGGTACTATTTCAACTGTCAATTCGACCTCGAACTTTGAAAGGTTCAAAACCTATCTGTCTCATGTTTGCTCACTCTACAATTTTGTATACGCAAAGGTTTTCATCATAACTTAATAACAAATTATAATTTAAGTTTTGGAAATCATTGGTTTTTTATCAGGAAGCAGTGCGCTCAACACTCTCGGACAACATTTCGACTGCCATTTTTAACCACCAAATTAAACAGAGTATATAAATAAAATAACACCCGAAATAAAGTTTTTTGTTACTTAAATCTTATCTTTAAGTTTCTTATAGTAGCTGAAAGTAACAAAAACATAAATTTTACACAAGTAATATTTTATAAAGCAATAGTTTCAGCATACCTTCTGATGGGTCATATACGCGTAGCCATATTTGTTTACAATTAGAACGTCTCACCCCCCGCGAAGCCCACATCACGGATGGGTCCCGCTCGATGTATGGCCGTTTCTACGCCCTCTCTCCCTTCGCCCTGGTTTACATTGTATCGGATCACTTTGCGTCCGACGCAAAAACCATACCGGATAGGGCTTCTGTTTACATATGAAATGTTGTTATCGTCTCAATTTCTGCAACGGACCGGTGGTGCGGCGTTCGCTCTTCGAAGTGGTGCGCGATGTATCGGATCGCTTTTTGCAACGCTCTCATTGCAATGTAAACACCAATCGGAGCAATTTTCGGTTCAATGCGTGACTCAAGATGGCATCAGGGAAACAAAGACTTGCTATTCTAATCTTATTTGCAGGTATAGCTTGCTCACTTATAATATTTTTGTATTTAGTTGGGCGAGGGCGGAAGCTGTTTATACTTGGACCGTAACGTTTCGTGAACGAAGCAAAAACCGATCCGATACAATGTAAACATAGCCCTAAAGTGTTCACATCAGATCAGTGAAAATGCTCGTCGGAAAAACTCAGTATTTGTCGTATTTTACAAATCTGTCACGTGATTTACCACCGCCCGTACACGGTACACCGCGACACTTAGAGCTATATGAAAGAATCTTGTTTATGTTTATGTTTAATGATTAGATTGTAATTGTTAATATCATAATTCCGCGATCCATATGTTGGCTCGAAACAGGGATGCCGGAAGTTGCTGAGGGCAAGGGGTGCAATTGGTTAACAAGAAGGCATACTCCTTAACAAAAGGCACCAATGAAAATGAAAGGGCGTCATGATCCAACATTCGTGTCAACCTCCCTCCCCGTCACCAAATGTTTTCGGACCGAATACAATTATTTAGGCACAATTCCTCCGTAATTTCTCGCCAAAAATTCCATAAGTGATGCTTTCCGTTTCACCTTTCGCCAAATGGATAACAATTTTGCCGAATTCCTGACGACTGGGGGGTGGAACACCCCCACATACATCCTCGAACGACATTTAATTCTGTCTGTTGTAAAAGTTTTGTGCACCCGGTACACCCATAGTCGGCACCCGCACTGCACCCACAAAGTTGAAAATGCAAAAGGCAAGGGGTGCACTTGCACCCGCTGCACCCGTGGTTCCGGCATCCCTGGCTCGAAAGTACAAAGGAAATCATTGACATCAGTGAAAATCAGTCCTGCTCTGGATTTAAAAAGAAGCATCAAATCGGCAAGATATTATATGTTACTATATGTTATATATCAAGATAATATATTTATTATATATGTTAATATATTATGATAATATATTTATTATATATATGTTACTATTATCATTTATAGACCTGGAGCGAGGGGGATTCGGCGAAATATTACCAGAAGTGATGATATTTCCCGAGGGGCTTTGATATATTATACCGAAAATTAAAAGCCTCCAAGTTGAGAATTAAAAACTTGACATATACCTTCGTGAATACGATGTTTTATTTTCGGATTAACGCATCAGATTTTCGAATCACGTTCCCCGGGGAACATGGGGTGGAACATTGTCAAAAGGAACGCAGGCTCGCTAATTGATGACGTAAGGCGTGACATCGCGATTAATTTCATGCTCACGTGGCACAAACTAAGCTTCCTGATTGGACAATTTGAATTTGAGGTATAATATTATGTTATATATTATATGTTACTATATGTTATATATTATATTATTATTAAGATATTATATATCTTAATTGTGTTATTAAATATGCAACACAAACTTGTTCAAACTGAAGTCATTAACAGCCATTTGAGTGATCATAGCATTGTCTTATGTGTTTTGAAGGGTGGCCTTCAGAAACTGCCGCCGCGTATACACGAGTCTAGATCTTTTAAGAATTATTGTAAACAATCATTTGTTGATGACCTTAGTAGTGTTCCATGGAATGTCATTGTCATTGAAGCGGCTGATTCGGTTGACGATGCTGTTTCCCTTTAGGAGCATTTGTTTTGCAGCGTTGCAGATCAACATGCTCCCATTAAGAAAAAACGTTTGAAAGGTGTTTCTTCCCCGTGGGTGACAGAAAATCTTATTAGTATCCGCCAAGATCGTGATTACTTTCATCGTAAAGCACGAAGGAGTAATGGAAGGTATCACTGGAATATGTACCGGAAAATGAGAAATTATATGCTTCTCGCGAGGAAAAACGTTTGAAATCAAAATATTTTTGACAAATATTTCATTGAGGAATCGAAATTTTGTCCATGATCAGTTAAACTATTGGCCTTAATAAGATCAGCGCTCGGCTTTTAAAGGATGCCTCGGAAGTTATATCACCTGTACTGACTAACTTGATTAATCTTTCTATTGAACAGTCTTATTTCCCTAACAACTGGAAGTCCGCAAAAGTCATGGCTTTATTTAAATCCGGTGATAAATCTAACTGTAATAATTATCGACCAATTTCCATTCTGCCGACCGTTAGCAAGATCATTGAACGTACTGTCCATTTTCAATTTTATGATTACTTACAAGAGAATAAGTTATATACTTTCTATTAGACAGTTTGGTTTTAGGCGTAATCGGTCTACATCTAGTGCCCTATTACAGTTCACTGATGAGTTGTTAATGAATATGGATCGTGGTAGTCACAGTATCTGGCGTCATCTACTTGGATTTAAAGAAGGCATTTGACACTGTCAACCACGCAATTCTACTCCAAAAACTGAAACGGATTGGTGTAGACTCAAAGTCCTTACAGTGGTTCCAATCATATTTGAGTCATCGTTAATAATTGTTATTCAAACCAGTGCAAAGTGTCTATTGGTGTATCTTTGGGGCCCTTGCTTTTTTTGGTGTATATAAACGATCTCTCGTCGTGTTTACATCATACGCAAGCATCTCTATTTGCAGATGACACGGCGATCTACTGCACAGCCTCTACTCCTAGTGAGCTTCAGACCTTATCCCATACCTGTGTTAAAAGCGGCTTTCTGATTGGTTTAGAGCAGGTGAGCTTGTCGTCGAGCTCACCTGCTTTTTGCCGAGCTCACCTGCTTTTCGCCCGAACTCACCCGCTAAACTGCTTACGTTGCAATAACAATAACAAATATGGCGGACAAGATTTAGCCGATAAACCTAAATTTAAAGAACTTTTTTCGGTGACTAACATACTGAGACTGAAGAAAAACCAAAGAAAAAATGCAGTAAAGGTAATGTTGACGTAGATAAAGAAGTATTTTCTTGCCCAGTGATTTTTTTGGCCGGGAAAATGTTCACAAAACATCGACGAATATATCGCGAAGACCTACAAATCTGTGTATGGCTCGGTGTATGGGATAAAAACCAAACGTACTTGCAGGTTCGGTGAGTCCGGGATTGGACGCACCTCCGGTGGCTGGAAGTTTCCAGAACTCACCTCGCTTCGCTCGGTAAGTTCGGGAAACTTCCAGCCACCCTCGGTGCGTCCAATCCCGGACTCACCTCCCTGCAAGTACGTTTGTTATAAAATTGAATGAAGACTTGATCCATCTAAAATCTTGGCTTGACGAAAATAGATTATCCTTAAACTTATTAAAAACTAAATTTATGCTGATAGGTATTAGGCAACGATTGAAGAGTTTTGTTTCCCTTGAACTGTGTATTGATGATCATATTCTGGAAAGAGAAGATAGCTATAAATATCTTGGAGTTATTATCAATGAGACGCTTTCTTGGGCTGACCATATTGACTATGTTAGAGCTAAATTGGCTAAGAGGCTAGGGATTTTCAAACGCATCAAACATCTACTGCCATTCCATGCAAGGCTTTTGGTGGTAAACAGCTTAATTTTGCCTCTTCTCGATTATGGTGATTTAGTCTGGGGTGACAGAAACAATGTATCGCTGATGAATGATCTGCAAATTCTTCATAATAAAACTGCAAAGTCTGTGTTGGATCTACCAATCGATGCTTCTAGTAGCCAGGCTTTAACAATGTTGAAGTGGTATCCTTTGTCGTATAGAAGACAATTCCACAGATATCGATGCAGTTTTGTTTATAAAGCCTTTAACAATAATGTCGACTATAATATGGAAGAAATTAAAGGAAGTAATTTACACTGTCATGATACAAGAAATAAACAGTTAGTAAGACTCCCCCTTTGTAGAACCAATTGGAGACAACAAACATCGCAATGATATGTTTTTTAATGAATGAATAATCTTCCGCCATTTGTTAAAGATTCTAGTAGCTTTGTAGCTTTTAAAAACAAATATGTCTCAGTATGTAATGAATAACTTGTTATCTTAGTGTTTTAAGTGTGGACTTAATTGACCATTTAATTAACTTTTTGAACTTTCTTAGGATTTCTAATTAATTATTAATATTTTTTTTCAT